TGTTTACATTTGAAACAGCAGACTAGTGGACTTGTTGCCAATCTAGAGAAACTTAGCTTTGCAACAACAAAGATAACGCCTTCGTTTATTATTGCCAATTAAATCATGCTTATTCCTTTCTGGAATTTTTTCGAGGAAATAAGTGTTTAAGATTTACTTCGTAATTTTTAATATAGATATTTTGAGTTTTTATGTATTTTGCTTCTCGCGAAGTGAGAACTGAATTAATTGAATTGAGAAATACTCAATCGTCGTCTGTGAAAAACTGTTTCTTTTTTTTTGTTTGCTTAATTTCTTTTTTATACACATCATTCTAGCTTTATTATAGTATTTCAATAGAACATGTGGCAACGGTTAGATGATTCTATTCTTTAAATGATATAAATTTTGTGTATTATGAGTTATAATATGAACGAAATATAATACTGTTAAATGAATCTAGCGCCAGAGTGTCGCTATGGTAAACAAATACTAGAGTGAATTTTAAAGAATGCATTTATCCTATTTGGGTTTATATGCCCTGTCGGCGAAGTAGATTTAATTCAATCCAATAAGTTTAAATGAAATGCAAGAAAAAATGCGTATAATTTAAAATTCCGTACAAGGAAGTCATGTGGTGTACACATCAGATTTTTTTTAATGTGTGATTAATTATTGTTGCCTTTTTTGTTTCAAATTTCTTGAAATTTACATGTACAATTTATATCACGTGCAGTGCTATCATGGCCTCAAATTTATCATCTGAGGCTTATTTAAAATAAAAAGTGTAAAATTAAGTGCATAAAATGTTATTTCAAGTTGTAATTCTTTTTGTTGGAGGAATATTTTTCCCTCTCCAGTGATGTCCTGCCAAACAATAGTACTACAAAAAGATCATCACACGAGCACCATTGCACCTTGTGACTGCTCTGCCTACAATGATATATTAAAATAGACCTTTCTGGTCTATGATTAAAAATATTTTTTAAACTCGGATATAAAAAGTTTAAGTGCTCTGAACAGTGTTCACTCAAAACTTCTGTTGACTTTTGGCTGTGTGTGTGATAGTGTTGTCTTGTTAAAACCACACATCTGGAATTTATAGTTCAGTATATTTTGGTGCCAATAAATTTTGTAGCATCTGCACATGCTGACTGAAAGTTACTAAACCTGCTCAGATTTCTTATTTAATAAAGTAATGGCCATAAACACCAAAATCTGCAGCAATGACTTATTTGTTGTGGAAAGGCCTTTCTTGAACCAGATAAGAATTGTTATTAGCAAACTTCTCCTCATTACTGTAGCATACACAATCTACTTATTATGCACACAAAAGTGTCCTTCATCGTATGTCAACAGAATAATGTTTTAGGAATATATTTATGACTGTCTCTGGAATATGCCTGTGTGATCACCCGCTTGTATTCTTTAATTTTGTGAATAATGATTGTTTTACACATCTGAAAATCAAGATCAGTGTGGAAAAAATTCTTCAAAGAGTCAACCCCAAAGTAGAAACTAGCTTACATGTTAAATATTTGAGTAGTGTCAAAATGGGTTATCTCATAAGTTTCACAACATTTCCTTGTATCCAGACATGTTGTATTCCAGTTGATTTTCTATGTCATGCTAAGTCTTAAGCTATATCAACAGTGACTGAGTGGTTAGGCTAAAGAATATTGGTAGTTTTTATTGGGTTCAAATCAAGACTATTCTTGTTGCATGGTTTGTTTTTTGTGATTTTCCTCATGTGTAATGTAACTATATTTCCTTAAAAAGTCCTCCACAAAGGCTTTCTTCCTTTAGGCAGACAGCCCACCAGCGGCCGAGCAGTCGCTGGTAGTTCGGTCCGAGGTTCGAATCCCGTGAGCGGGCTGGCTGCATGAGTGTTTTCATGGTTTTCCCCATGTGTAACGTGTATACGAGGCAGTTTCCCTTAGAAAGTCCTCCACGAAGGCACCCCTCCCTTTAGGCAGATAGCCCTCGAGGCTTTGCCGTAATTAAATAACCTAACCTTTAGGCAGACAGTCTTTTAGGTGTGCTTTGCCATAATCAAATACCCTGCCTACCGGCCTTAATCTATGAAATTTCCAACCCATTGCAGAATAGTTTTTTTATTCAAGTCAACAGCCTTCCAGTGTGGTGTGAAATTGAAAATCTTTCTGCTTAGTGATTACAGATTCAGTGTTTTGGATCACTTTCAATGTGATGTGAGCTTTCAAAAATCAATTATTAAGATTTATTGCTGATAAAGGCCACTATCTAGAGAATATCTCCAAAAACAAATGTTAATATAGTGTACTTCATGCACTTTCAAGTTTTGAAATAAAAGTTTTAGTAGCATTTACCATGCCTTCATTTTTTAAATTTATTTTATATATATATATTTTTATTTTTTTTAATCTTTAATATCTGGAAGGTTTCTTGTAGCATTCTGTATCTATGAATATACTTAGAATATTTAGAAATTGATATATTGGTCTTAAAAAGCAAGTTTTTGTAACATGCTCTGTTATATTATGTTTATGTTTTTGTAACATAATATTCTTTCATTTTTTTATGTAATATTATGTTTGTAATATTATGTTTTTGTAACATAATATTCTTTCATTTTTTTTACTCATTATATAATTTCATTGGTTATTTGTTCACTGTTTCAGCTAATTTATTTTATGTTTCATTTTTAAACTTCTTTTTATAATTAAATACATTTTTTCTCTCCTTTTTCTAGTTTAAAACAAATATTATTTAATTATTTGCTTGTAAACTGTCAAACTGATATAAATAGCCAATAATCAAACAGAACCAAGGCAGAAACAAAACAATTCTATGAAATAAGTGTTGTGAAGGTGCTATGAAAAGTGGTGAAGCTGACTTGTGTTTAATGATAGTTTGCTTTGACTTGAATTGCAAAATCCTGACATTTCCCCTCTTTACATTGACTATATTATCTAATATGCTGTTTCTTTAACTAAAGCTGTCGAGATTGTAAAATTTTAAGAAATAAAAGAAATATTCTTAAAAATAATAGATTACGTTCACACTGCTGTATGCAGAATTAGTAATGCAGAAGATGTAAATTACATAGAAATATACTTTCCAAAAATGTATGTAAGTTGTGGAGAAATTATACCTACTGTACAGGAATCTGTTATGAATACATTTAATAAATAAAAATATTATTAAGTTTTATATAAGTTATTATCTAATTATAAATCAGAGTACTTTGATTTAAGAACACTGCTTAAAACTTGTGACTTCTTTTACATGTGATATATAGAGAGAGACTTCAAATAGTGCTCGTACTAACTTAAAGGAACTTTAATATTTTTGTTATTTTCTGATTATCCACACCCCCATTGAAAAATTGCAAACTTGATGACTTTGTTTAGAACATATGCGAGCTCATTGGTAACTTTAGAGAGAAATGTTTGTATGGGTACCCTTACATCTCTTTCAAAATGCATCCTAGTGCTGCCCTCTCCCTTTTTTACATTCCCCTTTTTTTTTCCTCATACAAAACACTCACTTTTTTTTTTTTTTTTAAATGCAGCTGTTCTCGCTATTTATACAGCAATCCGTTTTTGTTTCAAAAAAAAAAAAAAAAAAGAGAGAGAGAGAGAGAGAAGGGGAGAACAGAAAATTGCACAGTGGCACCAAAATGAGAAGGAAAATAGATTAAGCTTACATCAAGTGAGTCAGAATATGTGTTACATGTGTCAAATCTGAGATATCATCAAAGATAATGAAACCTGCCATATGTGGGCCATTGGCTTTACTAAAATGCTGAAATTTCCACATTTAGGATCATAATATGCAATCACACTGGTGAGAATGTTGGAAATGTGAATACCTGTTTGAGGGATGTTACGTGCATGCCTTAAGCTGCCACCACATAAATACTTTTTGATGACATCATGGATTGCTACATAAATACTTTTTGGCAACATGATCTGTTGCCTCATAAATACTTTTTTGCAGCATTTCAGTGAGAGTGCAAATATTCGTAGAGTACGAGATTTTTTAGAAACACAACTTACATTTGCAACATCTGTTCCACAAATAGCTTTTAAAACTGAATCTAATGAACTGCAGAAATAATAAATTAGATTAGAAAAGTAATGAATTATCTATATTAATTCATTGTGTTCCTATCTTTGGAGTTATAATGTACTGTTTTTAAAGTTCAATAAAATTAGAAACTTGTGCTAGGTTCTGCACTTTCTAATAACCAGTTCTTTTATATAAGTAATGCTGAGCAATACAATTCTAATTCTTATTTTTAATGTAAAAAGTTGCCTCAAAACATTGTTTTCAATAAGAAATCCTTTACTTTCTATCAGAAAGAAATTTATTAATCTATTACCTAATAATTTATTTTAAAAAAATGATTAGAAAATGCTTTTTCTATGTTCTAAGCCATAAAAAGGGAATCTTAATGTAGTCTGCAGTTTTAGCTCTTTACTTGGTTAATTTTAAATTATTAGCATACTGAAAAATTTCAAATTGTACTGAACAGAGCTCTTAAAGATCCTCCATGAGGTACATCTTGCATGCAAACTTCAACTTCTGTTTTAATATTTCGGCATCAATGAAGCATACAAATTTATTTGGGTGAGCAAAATAATTTACATTAGCAAAATATAATATGTTTTCATTGTGAATATAGCTAACTTGTCTTTATATGATATTGATTTTCAAGTTTTTAATAATCAATAGCATCCTCAAAGATTATACAAAAATAATAAATTTGAATTTGACTAGCTTATTGTTACATAATATTGATTTCATAATAATTAATACCATCCTCAGGTACTGTATAAAAATAGTAAACTTGACACATAACTGCATTTAAGATTCAAGCTATTACTGAGGTTTGAAAATAGTAACTGGACATGGTGGATGAATATGTTTGTTAAAAAATTTTTCATATATTTGTTGTTCAAAATATATAATGTTTTTATTTTCTAAACTTGTTGTTGTTACTTATTATGTCTAATTATAGTTTTCTAAATTCACAGTACTATAGATTTAGTGTTGGAGGAATGACAGATGTAGCTGAAATCAAAGGCCACAGGTACCTTTGTTATAATTTGCTTTATTAGTTGTCACAGTTAAATGAAATTAATGGTACCATATGAGAGGAATTTGTAATCAATACTATCTGAACATTACTTGTGTTATCAGTGTTTTTTATAGTCTTTGTGCAAACATCGCATCTTATTTTATTTTATTAGTAGTAGGTATCTCTTATAATTAATCACTTATATATTTAATTGAATATTTTTATCTTTCAGGAGAACATACATAGGAGCTATGCCAGGAAAGATTATACAGTGTTTGAAAAAAACGAAAACTGAAAATCCTTTAATATTAATAGATGAGGTTAATGTTCTTCTTTTACAAGTTGCAGTTGAAATAGTGCATACTAATAATAAAACATAATTATTTAAAAAGTCTGCTATAAATTTTAATAAACAAAATGTAAATAAATAAAAGAGGGAAGAAAAGTTTTTGTATTGATTTTCTGTGCTTAATTTTAGCTGACTGAAAGATGTTAGTGTGGATATGCAGAATGTTGCAAAAGTTTTTATGAATAATTGAGACAAGATTTTTCATAAATTTAATGATTAGAAAATTACAAATAAAATTGTTTATTTTTATAATTGTAATACAAACTTTTATTATCTTAGAAGTAATGATTGTTTAAGAATGCATTCAGTTAAAGCAATTATCTATTAATCTAACTTTTATTCCCCTTCCCTACAGGTTGATAAAATAGGTAGAGGATATCAAGGAGATCCTTCCTCTGCTCTACTTGAGGTTTTAGATCCTGAACAGAATGCTAATTTCTTGGATCATTATTTGGATGTACCTGTTGATTTGTCGAAGGTATAAAAACAGTAAAGTATCTTATAATATTTTCCTGTGTTTTAGTTAAACCAATCATTTTAGTGTTCTTAAAATTTATATAATTTAAATTTCTAGTTTTCTGTTTTCCAAAATTAACTAATTGTTCTCAGAATATCTCAGAAAGCTTTAAATTATAGATATTTCTGGAGCATTTAGATTTTTTTTTTTCTTTCATAATTACTATTTTTGTATTCCTTATAACAGTATCCTGTATCACATCATATTTTTGAGTTAATACTCAAAAGCACAATTTTTAATTTTCTGTACTAATACTCAAAATGATTTAATTCATGTTTCATGTTCTCATTCTCAAAATAATTCAAAATTTTTAACAACAGCTCAAAAATATAATTATTAATCATATTAAAACTTAATAACTTTCCAAAATAAAAATAACTGGAAAACTGTTAATTTATGACATTTATTCAAAATTATTGAAATTGAAGTTTTTAAATTTTTATTTGTCATAAAATTTTAATTTGATTTTCATTAAAACAATTAATTTTTCAAAATCCAAATAGTAAGAAGAATCATCAATTTTTAGTTCATTTAAAATGCAGAATGTTTTTAACTGCACTTATTCATGGATAAGTTGCTTACATCTCAATTTTGAAAAAAATTCAGCATTGGTTATCAAAACAATGTATTTTAAATGAATCCATTAACTCTTTGTGAAGTGGTGTGCCTGGTCTATAAATTTTCATCTGTACACAGAGAAAAATTGAATGAAAAGGGATTTATAGGTTACTCTGAACACTCTTTATATATAATAGATGGCAGTCCAAGTCCATATATTTTAGCCATGTTTAATTTTTTAAGACCCTCATTTTTCAAAGAAATCTTCCAGATTTTTTTAGGATATAAAAGGAATTGTTTGAAAAGAAATTTATATGTTATTTTCTTGGCTGTATGCTAATCTCTCTATTCTATATTAGTTTTAAATTTTTGCCGTGAAATCTTGCCTAAAATTGAACAGCGAATACTATCAGGTGTTTCCAGAGAGTGGGCTAAGAGACTATCACTAAAACACTAGGGTCAGACCAACAACTGTATCTTTGTTTCACTGCAGCTTTCTGGTGAGCTTATTTACAATAGAAAGATAAGTCCACATCTGTGTTTCATTTCCTCTTTTTTTTTTTTTTTTTTTTTTTTTTTTTTTTTAAGGAAATGAGGTTTGGTTGTCAAAAATTTTTGGGGTGATTTTCTAAAGGTCAGGGGTATGGTTTTTCACTAGAGCAGTTCGCTTTTGTTCAAAGAAGTTTTGAGTTGTAGATGTTTATTTAAATTTATTTTATAGTTTATATTTTTTAATTGTAGATATAATATTAGTTTATGTTTTTCTGATTTTTAATTATTTTGCAAATGGATGGGAGAGGGCTGACCATTTGTGAAACACTCAAAGTGCTACACAAATTGCTTTCAGACAGTAAATCTGATATGGATCCCGATACATGTGCAAAACATGCAAGTTGGGTTATGTTTTTTTCAAATGTGGTGCCACTTTCTTCAAAAAGTACCACCATGGGGGGAAAATAGGCAAGAGTGTATTTGAAAGTACAGGATATCTATGAAATGGTCTATCAAATTTTGGTATTTTTGCGACAGTATATGTTTTTTACTGTTATTGTGTAGAACTAAAAAAAAAAATATTTGTTTTAGCATCTTGGGCTCAAAACTAGAAAGTGATTTTAGAAGAATTTTATTCTTGTATGTATTACTTATCTACTTTTGTACTTCTTATGTCTGTGATATTAGTTGATTTTGTAATAACTATTGCATAATTTAATAATCAGGACCTTTTATGCAAGAAAATATGAAATTTGTAATATTTTAGAATTACTTAGCCATATCATAGTAATTGTATTTCAGATACGCTTCATGGAAGAATTGTTCATATTTTATTAGTTGTAGAATGTTTAAAAATTAGATGGGAAACCACAAAATTATATTTTTACTTTTGCTGTCTTAATCAAATAAGTATAAATGTTAAAATGAATCTTTTGTCTCTGCTTCCCTCTTCAAACTTAGGCCTACTAGCAGCCATGTGGTAAAGACTGCTGAATGCTGGTAGACACAATTTTCTGTTGAAACGACCTCCACAAAGGCATCCCAACCCTCAGCCAGATAGCCCTCATGTGCTTTTTCATATCAAATAACCTAATGTAACATTAAATGAACTTAAAAAATTTAATCTGAAATTATAAACTGCTATTTATACTACTTCCAAGAAGTTATGTCTTAATTAATGGTTCCCATAAAGTTTTTTATATGTAATGTTTTTGATTCTGTGCTTTTTTATTTGTATTCACTAATAGCATTAATTCTTCCCTCTCTCTCTTTTTATTTATTTATTTATTTTTTAATTTTATTTTCTTTAAGGTATTATTTATATGTACTGCAAATGTAACAGATACTATTCCTGAACCACTTCGAGACAGAATGGAAATGATTGAAGTTTCAGGTTATGTTGCCGAAGAAAAAATTGCTATAGCTGAGGTTTGTTTTTTAACTTTTAAATTAAGTTTATTTTAATAATGTATTGGAATTTTGTTTCAGAATTCTAATTAGACAAATATTTGATAAAATTCAACTTTGAAGTATACAGTACAAAGTCCGAAATCCAGACTCGATTTGGTATTTTTCCGGATATTAGATCATCAATTTTAATCTAGTAAGATGGCATGTAGAAATTATAAAATTAAAAATATGAAATTGTGATTTATGAAATAATGAAGTATTTATGATCTAAAGGGAATCAAAATTTACAGGAAAAAGTTTAATATTTATTAGTTTATGTTACTAAGCATTTCTTTCAGTATAAGTTGTTTAAGTTGCTTTGTTTTTTGTGATAATACTTTCTTTTTAATTCTATAGGCAAACATAATCTCTTGTTTAGTTGCATTGTTGAAGTATTGTAACTGCTGTTTTGAGAATTCAGACTAACTTGTCAATCGAAATTTTCTCGTTTTCAGTAACTACTCTGTCACTTTCTTCACTAATGGTAGAGGTATTTTATGGATCTAAAACCATACTACAAATTTCACCGTTCATTAATTGATTGATGATTGAGAAGCATTGTCATCACAATGAAAAACTTCTTTTATATCATTTTCATTTGTTACCGCTTCTGCACATTTCTTTACAAAATCTGTTAATTGGAAACACCTTTGTTTTGCGATATCCGAAAACTTTTAAAATTAGTGGCTATCATGATCAAATTTAGCTCTCCTTCACTATACATATGTGGCCATGCATCATGAGCTTGGCAACTAACGACAAGTTATTCTGTTAAATTTTATCTTGCTTCTATCATGCAGAGACAATTAAGCCTGAATTGTATTCAGTTTAGTTATTTATTATACTTTTATTACACTGTATTTCTTGCACATACTTAAGGTTTATCAGAGTTCTGAATAAATAAATTCCTACATATACTTAAGCCTTATTTAGGGCCAGCACAAGTTGTCATATTTTGATAAACATGCAGTGATGAAAGGAAAATGTAATAAATAATGATTCACCAGGTTGGCGTCAGATCAGTGATGTATCTATGTGGAATGTTTCGGTTTCAAATGTGTGCCAAGCAGATACGCAGCAATGGAGCCAAATTACTGATCATACAAATTATGCTAAAATGATTGTTTCTTCAATAACAAGGTATTTTATTTAGTGTCGAAGTAAAGTTAAAAATTGTGACTCTCTAGATGTTTTATTATGTGTGGAGGGGGAATCAAATGTGCATGCATAAAGCCTACGAGGAAAAAAAAATTGTTGGTGATTTTGAGGTCTGGATTTTAGATCATTCCGGATAATGGACGTCCGAAATTTGGACTTTGTACTGTACTATGTATATTGTACTGTACTATGTCTTACCCATTTTTATTAATTTTCCCTCTTGAAAATTGAAAAAGGGGAAAATTGGATATTGTTTACTATTTTCAAGGAAAAGAATTTTAAAGAACTTAATGTTATAAAAAGCAGATAGAAATGTTAATGTTAGAGCATTCTATAATATATTTCTGTTACAATTATTGCTTATAATACATTTCTTTTTACTTCTGTACTAGAATTTTATTTGTTCATGTTTGGTATATTGCTATCTTAAATTAAAAATCCTAAATCATATATTGGAAATACCTGTGAGAAGTATGGGAATAAATGTAATAATTTGAATCTGAAATTGGCTGTGTAACCCAACCCCCCCTCCAAAAAAATGGAAATTGATAGCATGTATATCTGATACTTTAGATTTAAATTCAGTATTTGATTTAGAGTATATAATTTGAATTTGTATTTATGATTTGAATATTAGAGTAATAGTTCTTGTTTATCTTCCTTTTTGTTTAGCAATACTTGATACCTCAAGCTCGTGAACTGACTGGTGTTACATCTGACCAAGTTACAATCTCTACTGATGCACTCCAAAAACTTATAAAGTCCTATTGCAGAGAAAGTGGTGTACGGAACTTGCAAAAACATATTGAAAAGGTTAACAATAATTATTATTGCATTATACTTTTAAAATTTAATGTTATAACTATAATAAAAAAAATTTACATTTCATGTAAGTTTGTTTAATACATTTCTAGTATAGTAAAAAAGAATGGCTGCTAAAAATATAGTCATTTATTTTGACTGTGTTTTTAGTGGTTATAACCTTTTCACTTTCTACCAGTGTAGAGAAAGGACTGTATTTAAATTGTTCCACACTCTTACATACATTATTCTTAGAAAAGCAGATATATGCAAATTGACAGACTCTCAAAAGCAGTTTAAATTTGTTTCTTTCTTAAACACTTGAGAACTGATGTTAGAAGTGTCTGTAAATTAGATTTTCTTTTCATATCTCATTTGGCTATATCATTCTACTAGAGCTTTTACTATATGCTCAGTCTGGCAGATGTTGCCTTTCCATGAAGATGAAAGTCTTTAATTTATTATCTACATATTTTAATAAATTATCAGTTCTTTGAAACTTTTCTCCAAAATTTGGGCATTGCAAGTAAAAATTTTAAATGATTACTTAACTCTGATTAAAAGAACAACAGAAAATGCAAAAATTCTTACTTTTTTGAAAAATGAAATTCATTGTTCTCTTCTATTTCCTTATCAAGGACATAAAAGTATGGAACTGTCTTTGAAAATAGCATGAAAAGAAAAAACAGGTAACAATTCTTGACATAACAGATGTAGATGTAAAGGATGGTAATGAAAGTGAAAAATTGAAAAATTAAATACAAAGTCCGTAATCCGGACTCGTCAGGAATTCGGCGATTCCGGATTAGGAGTTTTTCTGGATTATAGATCATCAAGTTAAATCTGGTAAGATGGCATGCAGAAATTATACAATTAAAAATATTGAACCGTAATTTATGAAATAAAGAGCAATTATGATCTAAAGGTTTTTTTTTTTTAAAAAAAAAAGCTTAATATTTATTTGTTTACTTTATTAAACATTTGTTTCAATGTAAGTTGTTTAAGTTGGTACGTTTTTTGTGCTAAACATGCATGCGTAACATTAAACATGCATGTGTAAAGCATACAAAAAAAGTTTGTGGAAGTCCACATTATAAATCATTCCGGATAATGGACATCTGGATTACAGACTTTGTACTGAACCTAGTTTTTACTAGCAGTAGCTTTTAATACATTTGATGCAGTTTTATTAATGTAGTTATTGAATAATTTCTTATGCTGTTTTAGACCACAATACTTATTTTTTATTTTTTTTTTTTAAATCCATGAGAAATTTGTAATAATATGTTTTTCAAAATGGCAATCTCACACTGTGTGTAATCATTAGTGAACTTAGCTCAATGTTTTTCAATCTATAAATGTGACCACATTGATCTCCATAACCTACTATAAATTTCTTTTACAGCTTTCTTTAAACTAAAATAAGTTACAAAGAAAATAAAGTACATTACACGTAAAATCTGTTGCTCAACCTATTTTGCCCCATGTATCCCTCTTACCATTGCTAGAAGATCATTCTCCCCCTCCTTTCCAAAACTCAAAAAACACATATGCACATTTATTTAGATTTAGACTATTTTTAACGTGTTTTATAAATTAAAGAACAAAAAGTATAGAAATCTAATAAATACCAAAACTTTAGTTTCTTATATTTCTATATTATAATCAGATACTTAACAGCTAAATGAAATGCTGATCACATTCCCTCCTTGAAGCTATGAAATTCTCCTGTAATTGAGAACCTCTGCATTAAAATAGTAACCATTCATATAGCTTTAAAGCATCCTTATACTTTAACTAGAAAAACAGTGCAAGGTAGATGTGGGGATATAAATCTTTTCAAGTATTCCAAGTATAATAATGCAGAAAAAAACAATGTTCCTGCTTTAGGAAATTAATGCTCTTTGCTAAGTTTTTTTGATGTCATTAGTTGTTGAAGTTAAATTTTCCAGCATAATTTATAATTTAAGTTTTCTAAAAGATTTTTTTCAAGTTCTGAGAAGCAAATCTATGTTGTGTAATAGAATTTCCTTCATTTGTTTCTGCAAAATTATGTTCTTCTTCCATAAAAAATGGCACCAGGAAAGTAAAAATCCATATTATATTTGAAAGGGAAAAAAAAATTGTCTGCTAAAATCTCTTTAAATACTAATCACAATATTGTCACAGAAACATTTCAAATTAATAAAACATATTGCAGCAATGTGAGCAAGGGAAAATTTTGATTACAAGTACATGTTGTAGCAACTGTACATTCCGTTGTGTTGTGACTTACCTCACTTGTTTGACAGTAACCTCAAAACAAGGCCATGAAATTCATGTTAGCAAGGAGAGCAAAACTTTGCCTTTTGTCTAGAGCCTTGAGCACAATATGACTTCGCTCAGTTCCGCCCCCAATTTTGATGGAGAGCACCCTGGGGATGCATGTCCGAGGGTCTCCCACCCCTCTTCGCATACCACCAAACTTTCGAAAGGACTTTTGGCTCACCATGTATCTAGAGTGCCCCCATGCCGCAAAGATACTATACTTTTACAAACATCCATGCCTTCTCCTGGATTCGAACCCAGGCCCTTTGGTATCACAGTAGGCTTCCCTATCCACTATACCATCTGGGTGGCACCGTGTACATTTTTGTAAGTATAGATACTAAATTAAGCAAATGACATTTACGCATCAGCAAATGTTCTAGAAGCTATTTTATGGATAAAAATCATGGGTGTAACTATCCACATCTGCAGTTTTTAGTATTACAGAAAATAAGAATTTTTCATGAATTTTCATATAATATTGCTATGTTGACAATTCTGAAGGTAAAGCCATTCACATGTGCAACATTTTGAAAATCAGCTGCAGGTGATTATATTATAAATGGTGAAAGATATTGAATTTTGATGATCATCTTGTAATTATTCAATAGATTCATAAAACTGAAAAATAATGTTTAGGTTATTTTTAAATTCTTTATAAGGACATAAAATGGAGTTTGTTTCTAATGATGAAATGAAAAATAACAAATTTTAATTGCCAGCGATGAAATTGTGCAGGTGTGGAAATAAGATTTAATTGTATGGCTTAAGTTTATTGAGTGAAATGTGTCTAATTCAATAAGAGAACTTTACTATTATATATATATATTATATATATATTGTGTGTGTTTATAAAATTGGCTGTGAATATCATACATCTGAATATAAAATATATGCTTTTTTACTGTTATGTCAAAAGGTTTTAGCTTTCACAAACCAGATGAATAAAAATCACAAGTATTTATGTATCACCTTGGCGATATATGCAGGAAAAAGTAACTTATAATTGCAAAATATTATTTATTACATGCATATTGTTTCATTCATATTTTGCATTTTTATTAGGTATTGTAAAGATAAATAAAATTTACTTACAAGCATTCCCCCCCCCTTTTTTTTTTTCGTTTGTTTGTTTCGTTGGATATGGGAATAGATTCAAACCAGTTGTTCTCTTTAGCAATTTTATAGAAAAAAATCTCATTTTTTGCAGAAGTTTTTACCTCAGTTTCTTCCATTGCATGCAGATCTCACAACTGTATGAAAATTGAGTTTAAGACCAAAAATATCATGATTTGTGAACAATTGTTATGCATATAGCTGACAGATTTTAATGCAATGTGAAATTTTTTTATGCCTATGAATGTTCTTTTCAATGGGCTGCCTTAATGGGTTTTCTTGGTTTTTTATTAAAACATAACAACAAATAATAATACGTTATAAGAACCTATGTTCTCAATAGTTGATTTTTTGCACTGATTTGACATTGTGTGAGGAAACCATCCATCTTAATCCCACCAACGGGAATTCTTCCATCAGGTTGGTAGCATTCGTTTTCGAAATACAAGAGGGCAAGTTTGATGCGAATACAACGAAAGACAGCAACAGTGGACATGTTAGCGTGTAGATATTCTCTAAAGAGTTATTGTATTATTTCTGTTATAAGAATAAATCCAAATGTAGCAAAATATTTGCCTTTTAAAAAAAAATTTATAAAGTGTATAAATGATTTAAAATTTATGAACATAAATTTGCTATAAACCCTTAACACTCTAATTTACTTTGGATATTTCTCCTTTCCATCCTGTGCATAACCTGATGATATAACGAATTCAGAACTGAAAATCAAAATTATAATATAATACCCAAATCCTTTTCATATAAGACAGACTCCATATTGGAATATAATGTATTTATTTTTCCTCTTTGCTTCTGTCAGCTTGCTGCAGCCTGGTTTCTTCAAAAACTGGAACAGTCACAGTTAGTTTGCTAAGTTATTTATGGCCTCAAATGTCAGCAAATAAAAAGGAAATATTTTAAATCTGACTATGACTGCAATTCATTGTGCATCTGCAGTGTGTCTGCTTGGCATCAGCTTTTTTACATTACTGCACACACACACACATATAATAAGTTTTATATATATTTATATAAAACTTATTATTCTGAACTATTTTAAATCATACTAAGAACATTAATTGTAATTGTCATCCTTGCAGACTTATTTGCTTGCCTTATTAAATTCGATGCATTCTTTGGATATAGTCCACCAGCAGCAAAGCAGTAAAATTGCTGAACACTGGTAGCACACACAAGCAGTAACGTTGCTGAATGTAGTTCCGACCTGGCTTGATTCCAGGCAAACAGGCTGGTTGCATGAGTGCTTTCGTGCTTTCCCTCATGTGTAATATCTATACAGGCCAGTTTCTCTAAAAAAGTCTTCCACGAAGGTATCCCTTCCCTTAGGCAGATAGCCCTAGTGTGCTATCTGCCAAAGGGAAGGGATACCTTTCTAGAGGGATATGCTTTCTAGTTATTTCAATATACCTAGAAATTCTGCTTGCTGTAATCATCTAAACCAGACCAAACCATTCTTTGCACATAAAATGAGAGTTTTCTTGTGATATTAGTCAATTTAAGCATGTGTTTCTTATTTTTGTTGCATTATTTTGATTCTTATTTCTTATATGCATAGATCATCTTTAAGG